CTATTAATATGAATTCTACGTGATGCCACAATAAAATTTAGTACAATTTATCCAGAAAATGAAATTATATGTAACTATATTTAAGTCATATGCTTAAGTGCTCTGCAGTAGAACCTCTGTGCCTTGCAGCTCTTCCCGCTTCCCCAGTTGTATAAATTGGCATTATGTGAGACATTGCTTCTCCGAGCAAACCCTGACTAATCCCTCTCATTTCATGGCTTATCTTTATGATGATCATTTATTTTCAGAAGAAAGGTTTGCCAAGCTCCATTTTCATGCATGATGATAACATCCTGGAGTCTTAAACTTTAGTTTAATAAAGCTGGGTTAACACAGCCTTATTTTAATTATTAAAAACCAAAACTAAAGCACATCAGAAGAAAGATCATTTACTTCTCCTTTTTCCTTTATTCATTTTCATGATAATATTTTGCTTCAAAAATACATAAGCTTCAAAAGCTACTATAGCCTACCTCAGGTTTATTAAAATAATGTAACTAACCCACCATTTCCCCCCTACCCCATTTTCTAGGCATGGCCACTTTAGCAACACTCCAGTCATCATGCAGATCATGATGTTGATGTTGAAACAAAACAAGCTATTTTCCTTCAAAATGGGAGAGTAAAACATAATGAACTTGAGCTTGCTCAAGTTCACAGATAACACAGAAGCAGATACCAAGTATTTTAGAACAAGAGGAAACAGATTTTAAATGTTAGAGGATTTACTGCAAACACATAAAATTATTTTCATCATTATTCAAAGGATTCTTCAAATATATATTCTAAGCATTATTTCTGAGGATACAAACATTAGATACCTCTATACTACTACACATTTCACCCAATACTGATGTGCCAAATAGCTAATACAACGTAAACATATTCAAGAATCAGAGTATTAAAATACATTTTAATGGAAAACTTCAAATGTCAGAGGTGGTTTATAGGTTATAACTAGCTCCAATTTGTTTTGACTGTTGAATGAATTCTAAACATGTACCACTATTACTCTGAATATTCAACCATTAAAAAAAAAATCTATAGCTCTTGTTACTTGATTTTGTTTTGCTCTTCCCCAAATTACCAGGAGATTGTTTAGCTGTAACTTCAGGCTGTTCAGTTTAGACACACAACATGATAAGAACAGTGGATATTAGCAAAACACTGGGAAGCATTTCAAATAGCAGCTGTACTTTGAAAAGCATTTACAGAGCTGACATATAACCCAATTATTGTTTAGCACCTGATCTGTACTAACTGCCCAATTGCACCCTCTTAAAATCCACAGCAACTATAAATTTGATCAAACTCTTTCTCTAGTCTAAGCTCAGCTACCCTGACTGAAATTAGGACAGGACTAACTACAGCAGCATAACTAACATCACATTATCTTACTGACACCTCTAAGCCCTTAAGTTAAACAAAGCATACCCCCACCATCACAAAAGCTTAATGTCTGAGTCCTTTGCACAGCTCTGTAAATGAGATTTTGTAACAAGGATTAGACTGCCCATTTGTGGGCCACAACCTAGCTGCTGGTCTTAATGTCCACTTTATACTCCTGTTACTTTCATCTGCTATCTCACCTTATACTTGAACCTTTTTTGCTTTGGAACAGTTCAAGTACTCACCAAAATGGGTTTTCTGTCCCATCACTAAAGTTTGCAAGGTAGTAAGCACAGTAATATGGTATGCATGGCACAATAGTATGACAGTAAGTATGGTAAATAAGTATACTTGTGTATGATGCACTTTCTGTTTGCTTTAGTTTGCTGTTTTTCTCCACATTCTCCTCTCCCACAGCAGATCACAGGGCATGTTTTATACGCTGACTCCATTCTTTAGCCTTTGTATTTTTTGTCTTAGAATCATGTCTTCTCAGCATCCCTTTATTTTCTTCTTCAGAGACGAGCTTATTATGTACACCTCTCACTTCTCCACCTTGCACCATTTCTCCTTATGTGCACATAACCAAAAATTTTAATTAACTCTTCTGAGAAGAGTCATTCATGCAAAGAGTCAAATATCACCCTGTCAGGAAATGGAAGGGCTGCTGGATTCCTTAAAAATTACCATCCTCGGTCTTACCTGGATGTTTTATAATGTGAGCCAATATCTAGCTAAATGATTTTTTTACTATATTTAACACTATTTCACATCTTCCTATCCAGGGGACACTTTCTTCCATTTTGATTTGCAAATGATGTTAAAAAGTAAAGAATTAACAACAACAAAAAGCCTTTTCACGGTTTCTTCTTTTCCCAATCATATTTTCAGACACAGTTCAAAAGTCCATGAAGCTAGAAAGAAAAGAGAGCACACACCAGATCCTTAGCTTTCTCCATAGTGTCAGAGTAGTCTACAAAATAATACCTCACAGGCTTATTCTGGGCCCCATTTCCAATACCTACATTCTAAGTATGTAGAATTTATCTCACAGCTTGCAAATGTACTCACAATTTAAACCAGTCAAAACTAAGATAATTTTAGTGTTGTTTAAACAGAACAGAAGGATTGACATCTGTGAATCTGGAGTATGAGTTAAATTGTGTAGTGAGCTGTCAAAGCTAAAAACAAAAGACAGCGGTGGGGTCTGTTGCAAATTCATGAACTTGTTTTATCAGTCTGTGTTCGATTCAGGTGCAGAAGGTTGTCACTGCAAATACACTGAGTAACTAGACTTCTAAAAAAAAAAAAAAAAAAAAAAAAAAAAAAAAAAGCTCAGGCAGATGCAGTTGATCTTTCAGACCCTGATAACAAACTGCACTTGACATTAGACTAACACAAGACAAGGCAGAAGTCTCACCTGACAAAACACTAGCTGGTTTGCAATTTAGTTCCAGCTACTTGCATGACCTAACACATAACAGACACATTCAATGGCTTTCTGGAGGTTTTGAACGGACACCTATGAGCTCTAGACCCTTTGAGGCAGTCACCTCTGTCCAGAACAACAAAAAAAATTGCTCCAAAGTCAATCAGTTCCAAGTACCACTACTCTTTAAAAGCATGACTCTACTGTTGTGGTTGTACCTATTAAAAAAAAATAGTTACAATTTCTATCCTAGCTTCCTCAAAAACTGAACTACAACCACTTTGCAGACTGGTTCTGAGCTCCTAAGTCAGTCTTTTGGAAGACGTGGAATGCAGAGCAGCAAAAAGAAGCAGATTCAACCTACTTTGGAACAACAGATGTCACTAGGCTCATTAAATTGTCCCTTTTCCCATAAGTACAGCGGGATAGATTTAAATTTAGTTTTTAACAAAATAGCTCAAAGCATCATATGAAAAGGAAAACAAAAGAGAAAAGGAAATAAGTAATACAGAAGTAAAATGATAGCTTCTATAGCTTCTAAGGGGCAATTTTAACATTTCAAATGAAGTGACTAATCAAACTTAAGTTTTGATGCATAACTGAGTTTCCAAATGATCTTTAGAGTCTTAAACGGTTTCTGTAAGAAAATGATCCTTTGTTCCTCCCTTCACTTCCAAGAATCATTTGATGACTATTAAACCTCTGAAGCAGAGCTGAACTACCTGCCCAGACAGAGGGCTATAATTAACACTTTCTATAATGGAGGTCACACTTTAAGCACACACAGACACAAACACACTCATCTAAGACTGTATGCAAAAAAGCATTTCATAGTGTTTCTTAAGTCCTTTTAGGGAAGAACACATACCTGACATGCATTAAATAGAAAACTACTTGGAGGAGGTGGAATGTGTAGGGGATGAAGAGGGAACTGAACTTGCCACACATCTCTCTGAAGTCCTAATTAGATACAGTTAAAGAAACCTTCCTATATCTTCTAGATGAGATTTTAAACATACAGCTATCATGCAACTCTAAGGTGTATTAGCTGTTAACAACAGGATCCCTTCATTGATTTAAAGATGGCCTATATTAAAAAAAGAAATCTGTCTACTCTCAAGACAACGATTATCAATCTGTGCCCTGTAAAACCATGCAGTCCGAAGAAGGAATTCAGAGTCACTGCTCATGGACAGCACTTGAAAGCCATTAAATACCGCACTGAATGTAAAAATATCTCTGGGTTAAAAAGGAAAAAGGAACATGAACATACACCACGAAAAAATGGTTTGATACGAGAATAAAATAATAATGATGATGATGATGGTAAGAATAATCACAACCTGGAGCTATACAGCTTCTAAATACCCCTGAGGACAATTCGCAGAAGACATCACTATTCACATCCTTTATACTTGAGAGGTCTAAATAGCATGTGGAAAATAGGAACCTTAGCAACTCTCAGCATTCCTATACAATATAAATCACCTATTACTTTAATGCAAGCACCGTGCACTTTGACCACCTAGACTACATCACTGTGCTGACAGAAAGCACCGACACAACACAACCGACGGGGGAGGGAAGGAAACCACAGCAAGCGCTCCTTAAACCGGCGCTTCAAAAATAAATAGGTTACGTCCTCCCTTCCGCCGACACGGAGCGCTACCGCGGGCCGCCACAGGCGGAGGGGACGGCACGGACGGGCGGTTTAGGGGCCGGGATGCGCGGGCAGCACCTGCTCCTATTGCCTCGGGATCGCCCAGCACGGACCCGGCGCTGCCCAGCCCACACGGCGGCACGGTTACTCCAACAGCATCCCGGCATATTAAGAAAGCAGAGGCAAATTTTGTTTTTAATTCCCACCCTGCCGCTCTACCTCCGGACATCCTATTTGTTGCAGGCGTCTCGGCTCGCGAGTGAAAACGCGGGCGCACTGCGCGCCCCTCGCTGGCAAAGCCCCGCTTCAGGGCGAGCGCGATGCCTCGCGCCCGCGCAGACAACAGCGCCCTAAACCCATGAATTATTTAGCGCAAATGCGCAACGGCGGCGGCACCGCTCGCGGGCGAGAAGCCACGCGGCAGCGCGGCCGTTACGTGCGACCGTTACCGGCGGCCGAGCAACGGCCAGCCCCGCCCCGCCCTGCCCCCGGCCCCCCTGGGCGGCAGGAGTCGGCGCCTACCGGTACTTCTTGAAGAGCTGGTCGGACTCGCGGAAGCCGTTGTTGAGCAGCATGTTGATGCCGGCCAGCGCCAGCTCCGCGTCCTCCGCGGGCAGCGGCGCCTCGCCGTCCTCCCGCCGCGCCGCCGGCTGCTCCGAGCCGGCCATGGCGCTCAGGGGGCCGCCGGCACCACCAGCCGCCTCGCCGCGCTCTGCCCTCGC